TCTTCAGGGACTGGTCAGCTTTCTGTCCCCAGAGTCAGAACTAAACATGGAGAAGTTCAGTTATTATGCTCCAAATATCTGGAACAAACTCCCAGAAACCTGCAGGTCCGCTGCAACTCTTACTACTTTTAAATCCAGGCTGAAGACTTTTCTTTTTGCCGCTGCTTTTAATTGAACTATTCACATCTTAAACTGCACTGTAACTTTTAACTTTTATCCATGTATTTTTTCTTTTAATGTTTATTTTATTATCTTTTCTTTTTAATGACTGATTTTAAATGCCATTTTCATAATGTCTTCCATTTTTGTAAGGCACTTTGAATTGTCTTGTGTTGAAAGGTGCTATATAAATAAACTTGCCTTGCCTTGCCTTGCCTTGCCTTGCCTTCACTGTCAGCGTTTGTTTACTACAAGGCAGTCCTCAGCTCTGGTCCAGATTGAACTCATGGCATTTGGGATTTATACTACAGTAGGTGCTAAACAAAAAACTAGGGGATTCACCTTTAATGCAGCGTGCTATAAAGTGCAAATGGAGCTCAGTTTGAACTCTGAACAACTTGTTATTCCTACGGCTGCAAACTATCCCCACTATTTTTACTGCAGCTGAGCAAAGACCAAATGTGATCATTAGGATTTTATAAAACCGTGTCCTTGGCGCAGCAGCGTATAGGAGCATGAAGGTTTTATTAAACGCAGTAAATGAACCTCAAAGCCAGCAAAGAGAAACAAAACTCCATCAGCCAGCAGCCGTAAACCTCCCAGCACTGAAGAACGGAAAATGTACACGGCTGTAAAGTCTCCCGTCAAAACAACAAAGCTGGCTTCAAACACGACCGTTAGGATCCTGCTGACGTTCAGGATCATAAAGCTGGACAACTGTCTCTGAGTTAGTCGTCTGGAAGTGTTTGTCTGTATGTCTGAAATGACTAGGTTAGCTACGTTAGCTAGCTAGCTTACAGCAGATCTTCAGTAACATCAGAAGGAGTCATGTGATCACATTGATACTAAGCTTTACTCGTTGTGTTTGAGCTTCTCCAGCGTTTTGTATTTGCAGCTTTTAGTAAATGCTGCGCATGTCTCCTCAAGTTGCTGAATGTTCTCTAAATGCTGCATGTGTTGTTGCTGGAGATGTTTCTTCATGTGGAACATTTGGGTTTCTATATCTGCATCCTTTCTGAAGCTGTTTCTCCTGATGGAAGAGGATTGAGACGTTGTAGCACGTTGGCACCTGTGGGCCACCGTAGCCTGATGTTAACCCTCTGCACCAAGACAACCTGTGAACTGTTTGTGGCACGGCATCCTTCTTTGTCCCTGAGCAGCAGATGTCTTCTGATTTAAAGTCAATATTTCACCTTTTGTTTTGCCAAACTAATCTTGTGTTTGCCCCCCCCCCCCCCCCCCCCCGCTCCCCGGCTCCCTGCAGGGATCCAAGTTCATCTCATGTTTATTCATCACCGTCTGTAATCAATGCAGTCGAGCAAGCAACATTTTGGGCAGTCTTCATGCAGTCTGTCCAATCTCCTGCTAAATTAAGCTCAGGAAATAGAGAAAGGGTTCTTCTCAAGATCTCAGCATCTTTTCAAGAACTTAAAGTGGACCTATCATGCTATATTTGAATAATATAGTGTAGGACCATACCTATATAAGGCATATTTATACTTTTTTTTTTTTCAAAATACCAAACAGATCATGCATTTTAGCCATGCCTCATTTTGCTCAATTTGACCATTTCTAGCTCTGGGCTGATTCATTGAGAACAGCACCATCTACAGGCCTGGCATATGTATTACAGCGTCTCCAGCGCTTTCGAACGGCAATGGCCGTGGCTGTCTCCTCCTGATTGGTGGAGTTGGCCCAATAGCCGTAGCGCCACTGTCCTGACGTCAGGACAGTGTTCAAATCTGGATCAGTTTTTATCAGATCCGTTGCAGCCCCTTTTTTAGAGATTTGGGTATGGAGGAAAATAGAGAGGGTTGTGTTTTCTGACACTTGGTGAGTTCCCTGGAACACCGGGGACACATATTCATGTAGAAAAGACGTGCACAAGTGCATTTTGCATGATAGGTCCCCTTTAAATTACTTTTTTTGTCAACCAAATGGACCAAAACTGAAAGAGATTCAGTAACAGCAAATCCTTACATTGGAGATTTTGGAATTTATTAATATTTTTGACATTTCTGCATGCAAGCAGGCTCCACTCATACAGTCACCGTTAAGTAAAGAAGTGGTTAGATTGTCTGACAAAGCACTAAATATGACAAACCTTTGACTGACTGTTCACTGAGTGTCGGGGTGAAACAGAGAGCAGAGGAACGTCTGCAGAGAGTCAGGAGGCTTTGATGGAGCTCAGAGCAGAGCTGCACCGTTACAACATTTAGAAAAGTTGGACTTTTACAAGACTCTTATCTCTTTTATTGGTCTGTTTCAGAGAGACGAGTGGATCCTGCAAATAGAGTCCTCAGAGGGGGAGAAGTACTCAGGTCTGGTACTTGAGTAAAAGTAGAAGTACTCAGATCTTGTACT